CCCCCTTTTTTTTTTTGGTTTTTCGAGACAGGGTTTCTCTGCATTGTTTTGGAGGCTGTCCTGGAACTAGCTCTGTAGACCAGCCTGGCCTCGAACTCACAGAGATCCACCTGCTTCTGCCTCCCGAGTGCTGGGATTAAAGGCGTGTACCACCAACGCCCGGCCCTCTTTTTTTCCTTAAAAGTGCCTTGCTTTTGTGGCTCGGAGCTTCAACTCTCCCAACAGAGTTGAGCCCTAGCTGGTTTTCTGGAAATAAACGGACCTTCTTGTACTTGCATTCGGTGTCATTAAGCTCCTTGAAGCCTTGGGGTCCTCTCCGAGTGGGCACAACAACTTTCTGTGTGATAATGAATAAAACCTTAGGAACTAATTAATAAGTTAGCAGAACACAAGCTCCCACTAACCTAAGAGCTAAGGTAGTCAACAGATAGAATCTCAGGCTATAAAATAGCTTCCCCCATCTCTATGTATCTGCCTCTTGGGGGGTACACACCAATGTTTTTTTTTTTATTGAAAAAAATTATTTTCAGCCAGGCAGTGGTAGTGCATGCCTTTAATCCCAGCACTTTGGAGGCAGAGGCAAGCAGATCTCTACGAGTTTGAGGCCAGCCTGGTCTACAGAGCTACACAGAGAATCCTTTCTGGAAAAGCAAAAAGACTTTTTTTTTTTTGTTTTATATACCAACCCCAGTTCCCCCACCTCCCCCCTTCCCACCCCCCATCCATTCCTCAGAGGGGGTAAGGCCACCCTTGGGAAGTCAACAAAGTCTAGCATACCTCCCCTGTCACACCAATGTAAAGGGAGGCTTTTCCTTGCTAGCCGCTTTGGTTTATCACCGGCCAGTCGCCTGGGCTCTGCTGCGTTGTAGTCCCTAAATAACACACAAGACACTGTATTAATTATGAAGCTGTTGGCCTTGCTTGTTTCTTACTGGCTAGCTCTGACTTAAGTACTTATCCCATAATTGTTAATCTAAGTATTTCTCTTACCGGAGAGGTTTCCGGGCTTCTTATCCCTATGACAGCTACATCTTGACTCCCTGTGTTTCTCCTACCCAGAGTCCTCCTGGACTCCTAGTCCCACCTATCTTGCTTCCCTATTGACCAACAGTGCTTTATTGACATATACACAGGACTTCCCCCATCACACCAATGTATTTTAAAAATTGCCTTGATCTATGATTTTTTTTTTTCTTTTTTGGTTTTTTGAGACAAGGTTTCTCTCTATTGTTTTGGAGGCTGTCTTGGAACTCGCTCTGTAGACCAGGATGGCCTCGAACTTACAGAGATCCACCTACCTCTGCTCCTGAGTAGTGCTGGGACTAAAGGCGTGTGCCACCAATGCCTGGCTTTTTTTTTTTTTTTGTCTGTAAAAATGTAAAACCCTCAGGAAACTTCTTTCACATTGGAGCATGGAATTTTGGGGGAACCTAAATCTGTTCCTGGATCATGGTCAAACAGTGGCTCCAGAATAAACTATCTCTTATTCTCTTTAAGGTGAGAACTGGGGTTTTACAGTGTCTAGTGGACCAGGGGGACAGTCACACCTCGAACAGGGGCACCTAGTGGATTAAATGCTATTAAAGTGACCAGACCATCACTCAAGGCCCTGCTTTGGCAGCCATGACAGATTGCAGAAAAAACCCAGCAAGGCAAGGGCCCCTGACTCAGCAACATGTGCTGAGCTCCAGCCTTCTAGTCGCTAGGAAACCAGATAACTCCATGCGTCAAGGAACCAATCAGAAGTTAGCTGGCAGGCTCTGGAATGCAGAGCATAGTAACAGGCCTGGGAGGGCCTCTAGGCTTAGCAACCTTGCTGCAGCTGTAGCTGACCAATCAATTCAGGACAGGTTGCCCAAGCACAGAAATGTACCAATCCTGAGACTGTTGAGGCCCCCAGACACTCCCCTTGCTCTACCCCAATATATTCTCTGCCTACTTCACCCACTGTTGGGTGGACAGGGGAACTGAGTTAACTCATAAAATTAAAAACTCTTTGTTTTAACATCGGATTGGGTCTTTTAGTGATTTTGTTGAGTTTGGGCACAACACTGTAACATGAAAAATAAAGGACCCAGAGACTATTGGGGTTCAAGCTTCAAGCTGAAGATCAGAAAAGCCAAGCAGCTGGCCACTAGCTCTCACTCTACTGTTGCTGGAATTTTGTCTCACCGGGTACCGCCGCCCTTCTCAGTTCCAAATAAACACACAAAGACTTTTTGTTTTTTTTCAAGACAGGGTTACTCTGTATTGTTTTGGAGCCTGCCCTGGAACTAGCTCTGTAGACCAGGCTGGCCCAGCTCACACAGAAACTTATATTAATTATAAAACTATTGCTCAATGGTTAGGGTTCTTATTGGCTAGCTCTGTCTTAATTATTAACCTATTTCTATTAATCTAAGTATTTCCACACAGTCTTATCTTACTGGAGAAGGGTCGAGACTTGTTACTCCTTCCTCTGCTACATGGCGTTCCCCCATCTCCCTCTGCTTACCTTTCCTGGGACCTTCTCCTCCTAGTCCTGCCTGTCTTCCTGCCTCTATTGGCCAAACAGTATTTTATTCATCAACCAATAAAAGAAATATATATACAGAAGGACATCCCCCATCACTCTACCTCAGACTGAAATGCGATCCTGGCTCCACCAAACCTCAGACTGAAGCCTCTCCTCAGTTTGGCTGGAGAATCCTAAGACTTCAGTGTCTTCCCATGCTCAATGTGGCTGGAGAATGAATGCCTGATACTGAGACCTTGCTCCTGTCTTATATACCTCCCTGATGCAGGGATTAAAGGCATGTGATCCCAGGTGCTGGGATCAAAGGCATGAGCTCTATTACTCTTTTCTCTTGTGTAGGCCACGGTGGCCTTGAACTAACAGAGATCTGTCTACTTTAGAGTCCTGGGATTAAAGATGTGTGCCTGGCTTCTATGGCTTGTGGATGATTTCGCTTTCTGAATCCTCAGGCAAGCTTTAATAAATCATAAATAATATATTACCACAACAAGCAATCAGAACAATAATGCAAACTTGTAAGGAAGAGGCAGTAGGATTCCTTCAAGGTCATCCTCGCTCTCTTGAGTTGGAAGCTAAGCTTTTTAGTGTATGCCCTTCCTCTTCTCACGGGCCTTCCCTTTCCTAATAAACCGCCTTGTTTCTATTCCTAAAAAGGGAAAGAAAGAATTGGAGACCAGTCCAGGCTGTTATGGGCCTGGGATGTTCAGAGATCCACCAGTCTGACCATGAATAAATTCTCACAAAGAAGAGGCTTTTATTCAGACACTGGTACCAGGTCTATACCAGGACTTGGGATTCCCAAATGCAGTGCCAAGCCACCTGGATCAGGGGTTTATAATGACTAAGAACACAAACTTGCATCCTGTCTATGTGCAAGCAGAAGGTCATCTTGAGCAAAACAAGCTTTTGTTTAACAGAATCAGAAGTAACAGTTGACCTTATGACCTTAAAACTGTACAAGATCAGACAATCACAAAATAAATAAATAAACAAACAAACAAACAAACAAACCCTTAACAGCCACCAAGGTCTAGTCCCTTATTTGGCCACTCCCTCCTCCTGAGACTGACTACCAAGGTCCAGCTATCCAAGTATTAAAGTCCAGCAATCAAAGGCCCATTTGGCTCACCTAATTAACATGCCCAATTAAAATTAGACACCTCACCCTAACACAGGGTTCCCCCTTTTCCCTTATAAACCACCATTTGCCTATGGGTCAAGTCTGTCTCCTTTCTATGTAGAGGCAGTCCTTTTCTTTTGTTTTTTGAGACAGGGTTTCTCTGTATTGCTTTGGAGCCTGTCCTGGAACTTGCTTTGTAGACCAGGCTGGCTTCGAACTCACAGAGATCCGCCTGCCTCTGCCTCCCGAGTGCTGGGATTAAAGGCGTGCGCCACCAACACCTGGCAAGGCAGTCCTTTTGTCATCACTCCCTACCTCTTAGGACAAATACCCTTTTCCCCCTTTATTCCTTTCCCCTTCTTCCTCATCCTCTATTTCCTGACTTTGCATCTTATTCCATGCCCTTTAACTCTCTGTGGCAAATAAACCTCCTTTGTCCTAAGAACTTGGCCTTGGGGGGTCCTGAACCTACACTGACCCTTTCAGCAGTGCCCTGTTCTGACGCTGCTCTAGCACGGGACACCTTTGGGAGCCTCGGGAGCTGACAGTAGGGCACATTCTGGGGTGGAACAGCCAACTGATCTGATTCAGGGGGTCTTAGTTTGGGTTTTCATTGCTGTGAAAAGACATCATGACCACAGCAACTCTTATAAAGAAAACATTTAAGTGGGGTGGCTTGTTTACAGTTCGGAGGTTCAGTCCATTATCATCACGATGGAGAACTTGGTAGCGTGCAGGCAGACATGGTGCTGGAGCTGAGTGTGCTACGTCTTGACCAGAAGGCATCAGGAAGTTGACTGTCATATTGAGTGAAGTTTGAGAAAAAGACTTCAAAGCCTGCCCTAACCGTGACACACTTCTTCCAACAAGACCACATCTGCTCTAACAAGGTCACACCTCCTAATAGTGCCACTCCCTTTGGGGACTATTAGGGTTGTAAATGTATGGAGCAAATATTGATGAGGGAGTAGTGGATCCAAGGTACTCAAAAAGTCAAGTAATCAAAGGACAGAACCAAATCTGATTGACACATGTACACAGTGGCATGTACGAGTGTGTGTGCACACACATACACACGCACTGAATAAAAACACAGCCAGGTGCTGTCTGGGCTGTAGGCTACAGGGACAATTCCCCTGTGATCAACAGACGAGTACAAATACCAGGGGTTGATTGTCCCCAAGGCTTGGAGAGTTGATTGCTGTAGGCTCACTCTAGGAGAATTATCTGGGACAGTAGGCACAATAGTTGCTAAATGAAGAGGATCAGAAGAAAGTGGATTAGACTGTCCCTCACTAGTGGACTGCAAACCTTGCTGAAGGTCCCTGAAGTCAGGGACCCAAACCACACACTAACACAACAGGAAACCTTTGTTAGGCAGCCTTTATTAGCTGGGGCCCAGTTCCATTTTGCAGGGGGAACCTTTTCCCACCATAGTGATAGTGTCCTAGCATCCCTAGACCTCTTTCAAGGCACCAGGAAAGATCTGGGCCTCACGATTGGGGATGCCGGCAGCCCACTGACCAGAAATGTAGGACTTCCCAAGAAAGTCAGAGGGCAGGCAGGGCATCTGACAGTCAGGATGCTAGTGCAGCTCTTGCAGCTTCCATTCTTCCTCTTCCAAGCTGAAATCCGAGAGACATTCTTCCTCCCCTTGGCTGGACTGATTCCAAGGAAGGCAGCGCACCTGCAGGATGAAGAGCCAATAGGGCTGTGGGGAGTACACACTTGCAGCGGTTACTCCCTAACTGCTCTCCATTGGGCACCATGGTTCCCAACTCACCCCTGCTTGGCTGAGCCAGGGTAGACTCTGTGATCACTCTTAAACTTCTGCAGAGGGATTTAGGGGTGGGTAATTCAGCCAAAACTTTGGATCAAAGTGGATAGCCTTTCCACAGGCCTGGGAAACCACCCGCAGCCCACGCTGACTCACGGGCACGGCTACCACTTCACAGAGATCCACCCCAGACACCACACAGGGAATATGCATAGCTGCTTCTTTCCAGTTTTATAATCTGTATTATGATTTGCAAGAAGAGCCTTCATCTTGGGGTAGAGATGAGGCTCATCAGTTAAGAGCATGTACTGCTCTTCCAGTGGTCCTGAGTTCGGTTTCAGGACCGACACAGTGTGACTCACAACCACTTGTTACTCGGGCTCCAATGGATCCGATGCCTTTAGCTTCCTACAACATCACCAGACATTGCAGTGTCCTGACATAGTTGGGCGTGTAGTGCCGGTTTTAAAGTGGAGTTGATTCTAATAGTCCCCTCTCTACTGGCACATCCACTGTTGCAATGGGATTTCAGAACCCAGTGCTGATTGCCTCCTCTCAAATTCACAGAGCTGACCTTGTTTTTCAGATATTGGCTCACAGGGTAGTTCTGGCTGGCTTGGAACTTGTTATGCAGACCAGGCTGGCCCCAAATTCACAGAGATCTACCTGCCTCTGCCTCCTGAGTATTGGAATTAAGGGTGTGAGCCACCACACAGGGCAAAAGTTGGACTTCTTGAAAGTGTGAAAAATGTCACTGGGTTATAGTTCATTTAGTAGTGTGCTTGCCTAGTGTCTTAGTCACTTGTGAAGAGACAGCAAGGCAACTCTTTTTTGGTGTTTGTTTGTTTGTTCAAGACAGGGTTACTCTTTGTAGCCCTGGCTGTCCTGGAACTTGCTCCGTAGACCAGGCTGGCCTCGAACTCAGAAGTCCTAGATTTGCTTGCCTCTGCCTCCAGAGTGCTGGGATTAAAGGCATGTGCCCCCATTGCCTGGCACCAACCCAACTCTTAAAAAAGAAAGTACTTAGGCTGGGCATTGGTGGCATATGCCTTTAATCCCAGTACTTGGGAGGCAGAGGCAGGCAGATCTCTGTGAGTTTGAGGCCAGCCTGATCTACATAGTGAGGTCCAGAACAGACAGGACTGTTATACAGAGAAACCCTTTCTCAAACAACAACAACAAAACCACCCCCCCAAAAAAAACCCCCAAAACCAAACCAAAACAACATTGCCAGGCATGGTGGTGCACACCTTTAATCCCAGCACTCGTGAGGCAGAGGCAGGCGGATCTCTGTGAGTTTCAGGCCAGCCTGGTCTACACATCAAGTTCCAGGACAGGTAGGTAGGTCTACCAAACAAACAACAAAAAGAAAGACGTTTCCTTGATTGGTTTTGAGACTGAGTAGGCAAGAGATTAGATGCGGTTACCAAGGAAACTGCAGCTATGTCTCTTTCTTAGACAGGGAGTTGGTGGATGGAGCCAAAAAAACTATAACAGAACCTTGGGGGCATTTTCTTCCTAGTGTGCAGAATGCCTCTTAGATATCCCACTTGCCCAACTGCCACTTATATTCTTTTTACCAGAAACGGGTCTGCAGACCCAGAAGATACCAGCTTCAATGTAACATCACTTGCATTGTGCTAGCGCGAATGCACGCATGCACGCACGGTTTAAGAAATATCCTAAAACAGAGATCTGGCCCACCATGATTTAGTAGGGAAACCTTCCTAATACTGTTCTTCCTATTATTGCTCTACTACTCACCTCACAAACATTCACAAAACCTGTCAAAAATCCACAACACATGGCCACCAGTATGCCAGTGGGTAAAGGAACCTGCCACACAGGACTGGCAGCCTGAGTGCACCAAGGGATCCAAGGAAAAAGGCTGCAGGACAAAACTGACTTCACAATGTACTCCACACGCTCGCAATGGCAAACACACGAGTCTGTCTTTCTCAAGCACACTTGGTAAAAGTAAAAGAGTAAATGGACAACACAGGCCAAGGGCTACTATCCTCACTTAGGGGCAGCCCACCCTAACCTCTCTGTGGTGACACTGCCTTGCTGACCAAGCTTCTGTCTGCATTGTGTCTCTACTGAATTCCTTCCAGCAAGAAGACAGAGCCCAGGAAATCCCTGTTTAAGCTGAACTAAACCATTGCTTTCCATGGAGGAACTTTGCTTTTTGAGAGGGCAACCACTCTACCTGTTCAAAGCAAATCACTTCAAAGTTCTGGGGTGCGTTAAGTAATCAAAAATCCCGAAATGATAAATGATATTCCCATGAGACAGAACACATTTCGGCCACTACCGCTTTAAATGTGTCTTCTATGTAATAGTGACTGTTTTCTTGAAATGACTTTGGCAACTTATATCCTGATTAAGACATTTATATAACTGATTTACAGAATGGTCTTTGGCAAAAAATATATAGGAAGGTCTTCTGCTGGAGAGAAGGGGAAATGTCGGGGTTTAAATAACACACTTTATTAGTGCATCAGAGAACTGCCCTGTTCCATGTGCTCTTGGGACTCATGGAGGAAGTTCTGGAAAGATCACTGCTCAGATAGCCTGGCTTCCTGGAGCAGGGAGCTCCCACCTATCTTGGGGCCACAGTCCTAGTCAAGTCCTCAGTGACCTCAGTTCTCTTTAAACTCCACACAAGAGGGCAGAGGCCAGGGCTAGGAGTTCAGGAAGAGCCCCTCCCCCCCATTGCCTGTACTTCCAAGTCCGCACTCCCTTGAGAGCGCAGTGCTGCAGTCTCCCAGATCCTGCCGGCTGCTTCTGTCTTGGCTATACCAGCTATAGAAACCTCGGGCTTTGGCCCCCACGCACCTGGATTAAACCGTGCAGTTCTTCACTTGTGGCATCCAAGGACTCTTCACTGGGTCTGTACTCCACCGCGACCTTACCGCTTTCTAAAAGTGACAGGATCAATTCAGAGCTTTCCTTGTTCTCAAACTTGCCACATCCAATGAGCGCTTACAGTTTCTAAAAGCTAAGGGAGAGCATGTCTCCAGAAATGTCACATCCCACGATGCAGTTATCAACAGAACTGTCTGCTTAAAGAATGTATGAGCAGGGCCAGGCATGGCGGTGTGTCCGGCAGACACGGGCAGGTGGGTCTACGTCTACAGAGTGAGCTCCAGACCAACCAGGGCTATAGAGAGACCCTATCTCAAAAAAAAAAAAAAGATACCAAGTATGTTTAGTTCAAACAACTTAGGTTTCTTAGAGGTAGGACTAAGGGATAACAAGAAATTGGAAATAAAAAAGGTTCAAATGGCTGAGGTGTAGGTGGCAGGCAAAGAGAATTCAAATCTGGCATAGAGAGCACTGGATTAGAAGAGGCAGATTTTCTTTTTTCTATTTTTTTGGGGGGGTTTCTCTGTGGCTTTGGAGGCTGTCCTGGAACTAGCTCTTGTAGATCAGGCTGGTCTCCAACTCACAGAGATCTTTGCCTGCCTCTGCCTCCCGAGTGCTGGGATTAAAGGCATGCGCCACCACTGCCCCAGCTGCAGCTGTTCTCTTTTTAAGAGAGAAGGGAACAATGATAATCCACAGACTTCCGGCTTTTCACATAAGCAGAGCCTGCGCCCTTCACTCGCGGCATTTCATTTCCTCTTGTGGTGTCCCTATGAGGTAAGAAGAACCTCTAGCCTGTTTTGCAGATGAGAGGGCAGCTTAGTAGGTCTACAGGTCTCTGTGACACAGACAATCAGCAGGAAAACCCAGAATCCAAAGCTCATAAACCCTGTTAGTGACAGGCAAGCAAAAGAGAAATGCCACGGTGGTGAGGTAAACCCTTTGACATCTATACCTAGGAACAAGAATGTTTGCTGTCACTTTTCTCATCAACACACAAGGAACAAATCTGAGCCCACTGCCATGGAAGAGTTCCGTGAATGAAAGTTCTAGACTGCAGCGTTTTCACACTATTTATGCTTTAAAATGAACTTTCGGCTCACCGAGAGTCAAACACTTGAGATAATCAAGGAAGGCTCACCCAGAACCACGATGGCCAGCTTCTGGAAGGCGTCTGACAAAGCGCTCTGGACTGCGAGCTTCTGAGCTGTCTTCCTTCTCATCAGATATGATGACTGTCCTGGAGCCAAACAAACAGATGGATTTCAACTACCTGAACGGAGCTGAGAGGTTCCGTGTTTGCTGTAGAAGCTTGAGGACCAGTGTTGGGATACAGTGCCCGTGTAACAGTTGGGCATGACCCTGTGCAAGTCTGCAATCCCAGCAGTGAGTTGGGCTGAGTGGGGGATGGGGTGGCTGTCATCTTCTAGCTGGCCAAAAAGAAAGACGAGCTCCAGCTTCAGGGAGAGACCTTGCCTCAAATGATAAAGAGAATATACCCAACACCCTCTTCTGGCTTCTGTGCTTATATACTTAGGCCTACACACTTTCTGTGCACACATACATTTGCATACACGACATACAAATACACCATACACATAAAATAAAAAATAAGTAAATACTTATATGGATAGCTATTATTCTTTGTTTACAAAGACAATGTATTTATGATTCATTCAGATAATTATTTGAGCAACCATAGCACAAGGAGCTGGCTGAATGGCTCTGTTGATGGTACATAATGATAGGGCCCATTATTTTGCAGGCCTAGTGTATTGTGAAGTTCCTTATGTACTAACTATGGAATCCAAATGAGGAACAGGTACAAGGCTCATATCACTGGCCAATTTCAAATTGACATTTTTCCTGTAGACTCTGCCTGCTGCAGCTCAGGGCTGGACTCACTTTAAGCAAGGTCAGATGATGGAACAAGATCAGGTGATGGTACTGATGATGGATGTTATCTATCCAGCAGCCTCAGGTGCCTACGCCACATCCCACTAACACCTTATATCTGAGTTGGACTCCTCATGTTGAGAACCATGAGGTCTAGAAAAAACTTAAAAAAAAACTTAAAATCAATTGGAATACCTTTGTCTTTTTTAAGATTTTATTTATTTATTTATTATGTGCACAGTGTTCTGCATGTATGCTTGCACACCAGAAGAGGACACCAGCTCTAATTATTGATGGCTGTGAGCCACCATGTGGTTTCTGGGAATTGAACTCAGGACCTCTGGAAGAGCAGTCAATACTCTTAACCACTGAGCCATCTCTCCAGCCCTGGAATACCTTTTTCACATTGGCTTTTTTGTCTGTTCAAGCCATTCCATTAACAGGCAAAGGACTGAGTGCCTATACAAGAGTCTATGACAATGTTTAGATAATGATGAATGATGTGTCTATGTCTGTGTGGCTTTCTCTGAGTATACTAGTGTCGGTGTCTGAGGACCAGAGAGGTGTGTGATCCTACTGGATCTGCAGTGCTGGGAATGGAATGCAGGGCCTTTGCGAGATCAGAGCTCTTACACTGAGCCATCTCTCCTGTCCTACAGCAGGATTCTGCTGAGATAACTGAAAGCTAAGATAAAGGACTCTGACCAATTATTTCAACACAGAGCAAGTCCTCAATCAAAAACTAGAGAGACACATGACTTCCTGCCTCCCCTAAGCCTCTGGGTAGTAGGGATTGTAAATGTGAAGATTTGGACAGGCGTTTATTTAAGTGAAATCTTATATTAGAAGGCATAAAAATTCTGCCTAGGACTTCAGTAGTTTAGCAATGGAAGGGCCTGCCTACTAGCTGACAGAAGAGTGGAGAGAAGGAAGAAAAGACACACAGACAGACACATTACTGTCACCCCTCTGCACCGGGACAGACCTTCCTCCAGCTGATGCAGAGGTTCCTCAGCGACGCCGACTCCAGGGCTCCTGCACCCGTACAGCGGCAGCACCACCTCGACAGCACAGAGGAACCTGAGGCTCTGCCTCTGCACGGGCACCGGGAGAGTGTCGTCCTCCAGTCCAGAGAGCTCCTGCAGCTGGGAGGGGGTGGATTCCAGTCCTTCTAGGATTTCCTTATCTCTGAGAATCAAACCCAAGGTTTCACCCCTACCAGGCAAGCTTCCCACCACTCAGCCCCATCCCCAGCTTGCCTAAAATTTTAATGAAGAAACATAAAGAACTAAACACCACACCAGGCGTTGGTGGTGTATGCCTTTAATCCCAGCCCTCGGGAGGCAGAGGCAGGCGGATCTCTGTGAGTTCGAGGCCAGACTGGTCTACAGAGTAAGTTCCAGGACAGCCTCCATCCAAAACAATACAGAGAAACCCTGTCTTGAAAAACCACCACCAACAACAAAAAACCAAAAAAACCAAAAAACTAAACCCCAGATCCCAGCTAAGAGCTGGAGCATCCTAGAGCTTCAAACACAAGTAAGATTTGCCAAGAAGTGCTGCTTTTGGCAACCGAGTCTTACTGAACACACAAACACTGGGGAGACTATGGACTCCATCAGCCAGTGAACTGGGAGAGTTTTCCTAAATCTCAGACATATCCATCTGTCCTCACCATAGCTGGTCCCTGATATGTCCCTCTACAAAGTCCTTATCAATCCTCCCCGATGTCTAGGATTATAATGTGGAAGGAAGAGTCAAAAGACATACAAGGTTTACCTTAATGATCCTTTTTGACCATCCATTGAAACCAAAGTAGTAATTTGCCAGTTCTTGGCATCGTGAGCTGTTTAGGGCAAAGGCCTGATGTTGCTGTGCCTTGTGTCTGGTGCTGAGACGAACCTGCAGTCAGGAGAGAGACCCACAAATACCACAGCCTGCCAGATTCTATTTTGGAGACACTTGAGGCCAGTCAATTCCAATTCCATTAAGTGACAGTGAAGACCAGGTAGACAGAAGGATGTCCTAAGTCCTGATCAGAGTGAGCCCCAAACACATGCTATCTGTCCATCTAAGCCTCAGTGCTGTCCTCCATCATTTTTAGTTAAATGGCAGGTTGCTCTGGGAACTGGGGATGGAGCCTGGTTGGTGGAGTGTTTGCCTAGCATTCGGGAAGCCTGGGGTTGAAGCCTGAGCACCCATGAACTAGGTGTAGAGTAGAAGGGGATAGAGAAAATAACTAAGGAAGCCCTGCAGTAAGAGTCAAGGGTTGTGAGCTAGCAAAGACATTGTACCAGACTTCCAATCTAGTAGCTCCTGCTTGAGACTATGACCCAGGAAGATGGGGATGAACCTTATACCCATCCAGCTCCAAGTCAATAACCCCTATTACAAGCGATAATACATGGTTAGGCACCATGGTGTGTTTTCCTTCTCTCTCTCTTTTTTTCAAGATAGGGTTTCTCTGTGTATTCCTGGACTCTGTAGACCAGAGTAGCCTTGAACCCAGAGATTCCCCTTGCCTGCCTCCTGAGTGCTGGGATTAAAGGTATGCGCCACCAGGCCCAGTGGTGTACATTTTTAATCTCAGAACTCAAGAGGAAGAGGGCAACAGACCTCTTTGAGTTCTAGGCCGGCCTGGTCTACATAGAGAGCTCCATGTCTAAAGTAAATCATAATATATATGCATTCTCTCTCTGTCTCTGTCTCTCTCTCTCATTTTACAATTATATGTCATCCCCATTGACAAGCTTATTTGACAGTTTCTCTAGGTGTTACCCTTGTAATACTTTACACATTACTGTGTATTTCTTACACCACTAACTCATTCTTGGAAGTCTTCATTATTAGAAAGTTTTGTGTATTCATAGAATTTGAACAAATAACGTCAATGTATTAACTATTCATGAATTATGTTTATGTGTCTTCTTCCTCTGTCACTCCTCGGAGCTCAAGATGGCCACTGGTTAAGAGTGTGTACTGCTCTCGGAGAAGACCTATGTTTAGTTCTCAGGCTTCAAGTCACGTGGTTGACAACCACCTATAACTCCATCTCCGAGGAACCTGACACCTTCTCTCTGGGTACCGGCAGTCACTTGTGCCCATAGCCACACATACTTTCGCAAATGACGGGAGGGATGGGATGGGACTACTTTAAAGGACGGGGACGGTAGATCATAAGCTAAAAGAAATTATAGGGGAGGGGAGGACTGTGGGTGGAAAGGCAGGGATGGAGGCAGGGGGATTGGGGAGATGAAGGGAATATTGCCCAATAAAGAGAGTATTAAGAAACCATTTGAAAGCCTGATATGCCCAGCTGTGCAGCAGCAGCTTGGCTATGGAGGGACAAATGAAGACCCGTTCCTTGAGGGACAGGAAGGGACCAATACCTGATGGGGGATGTCCTTTCTGTATACATGTTTCTCTTATTGACACTGCTTGGCAGGAAGATAGGTGGGGCTAGGAGACAGAGGAGAACTCTGGGAAAAGTGGACAGAGAAGGGCTGAAAGTAGATGCCAAGGAGGCACCGGGAGGATAGGGCGTGCCCGGAGTTCTCCAGTAAGTTAAGACCACATGGAAATACATAGATGAACAGAAATGGGTTAATACTTAAGACAGAACTAGCCAGTAAGAAGCCCTACCCTCGGCCAACAGTTTTGTAATTAATATAGCGCCTCTGTGTGTTTATTTGGGGCTGAGAAGGGTGGCAGGACCTGGCAGGACAAGTGACTTCAGCAACAAATACCCAAGACTGTAAGCCTGGTTGATGACACATGGATGAAGGTGTAGTAGGTCTATTTGAAGAACACGTCTCTGACGGTTAACAAAAATGATATAGCAGTCAGCTGTAAACACCTATGTTTACACCCACAGACAAAGATCTAAGTAACCTTTTTTTTTTTTTGATTTTCGAGGCAGGGTTTCTCCGAGGCTTTTGGAGGCTGTCCTGGAACTAGCTCTTGTAGACCAGGCTGGCCTCGAACTTACAGATATCCGCCTGCCTCTGCCTCCCGAGTGCTGGGATTAAAGGCGTGCGCCACCGACGCTAATTCCAGGACAGCCTCCAAAGCCACAAAGAAACCCTGTCTCAAAAAACAAACAAACAAAAAAACCTAGAAGTAGACCGGGAACTTCACTCCCTCCGGAGGCTGCTGAGACAGCTAGCCAGACGGGGTCCCTGTCATGGTTGGATGAACAATAAAACCTTGCTTTTGCATTTTGGTGGGTCTGTCTTCCTGGTGGTCTCTGAGGATCTTCGAGACTTGGGCACATTTTTCTTCATGCCTGCCCTGGCTAGGCTTTTTGTTTTTAGAGATAGGGTTTCTCTGTGTAGCCTTAGCTGTTCCAGAACTCGCTTTGTAGACCAGGCTGGCCTCGAAGTTACAGAGATCTGCTTGCCTCTGCCTCCCAAGTGCTGGAATTAAAGGCACACACCACCATTTCCTGGATTGGTTTTTCTTTCATTCTTTTTTCTTTCTGGTATGTACTGGCTAGTTTTATGTCAACTTGACACTGGCTAGAGTCATTTGAAAGGAGGAACCCTCAATGAGAAAATGCCTCCGTAAGATCCTGCTGTAAGGCATTTTCTTAATTATTGATTGATGAGGGAGGACTCTGGTTACTATGGGTGGTGCCATCCCTGGGCTGGTAGGCCTGGATTCTACAAGAAAGCAGGCTGAGCAAGTCGTGAGTAGCAAGCCCTTCTCCATGGCTCTGCATCAGCTCCTGCCTCTAGTTTCCTGCCCTGATCGAGTTCTTTCCTGACTTCCTTCAGGGGTGAACAGTAATATGGAAGTGTAAACCAAATTAACCCTTTTTTCTCCAACTTGCTGTAGGTCATGGTGTTTCTTCACAGCAGTAATAACCCTAACTAAGACAATGCCAAAGGGGGCGGGGAGTATTCTCAAGTACCTTAGGCCTTTCCTTGATCTTATTTTTTGTTTTTTGAGACAGGGTTTCTCTGTATTGTTTTGGAGGCTGTCCTGGAACTCTCTCTGTAGACCAGGCTGGCCTTGATCTCACAGAGATCTGCCTGCCTCTGCCTCAGAGTGCTGGGACTAAAGGCGTGTGCCACCAACACCTGGCTTTGATCTTATTTTATAGCACACATAGAACATATGTGTGCCTAACAAAGCAAACTATGTAAATAAACCTAATAAGACCATTCTCACCTCTCAACAGTACCTTTTTTTTTTTTTTTTTGAGACAGTGTTTCTCTTTGTAGCCTTAGCTGTCCTGGAACTTGCTCTGTAGATCAGGCTGGCCTTGAACTCACAGAGATCCACCTGCCTTTGCCTCTGAGTGTTGGGATTAAAGGTGTGTGCTACCAAGCCCTTCTCCTTGACTTGTTTTTTTTAAAATATTGAATGTTTCTTTTGTTTATTTTGTGTGTGTGTGTGTGTGTGTGTGTGTGTGTGTGTATTTTGCCTGAACATATACCTGTGAATCACATGCATGCCTGGTGCCCAGGCCAGAAGGGGATGTGGGATCCCTTTGGAACTGTAGCTACTGGAAGTGACTGTGAGCCATCATGTGGGTGCTGAAATCAAACTGGGGTCCTCTGGAAGAGCAAGCAGTGCTCTTAACAACTGAGTCATCTCTCCAGCCCCACTATCTTAAATTGTTAAGGTTTCCTTCACCATTCCATGGAAACCTAGTTTATGAAATGGTCTCATTGTCCCAAGGGCACTGGAAACTCACTGCTTATGTGGATACAATATCCAAATGACTGAGACATGGTCACAGGTTAAAAACATACAAAGTCCAGTAATTAGAAGGATGACAAGCAATCGCTTCACTGCTTGGAGGTGGATGATCTGGGAGAGAAGAAGGTTCTGAACAGTGTACGAAGTAGAGATAACATGCTTGGGGTCACTCCTGACTAGAGTTCTCAGATTCAGTTAAGGTTCAGTGGAGGAGAGAAGCAATGGGGACAATAGGCTGTGGGTCAGCAGCAAGTAGGCACTTGGAAACGTAAAGATGTTTTAAAAAGGACAGGTGGTGGAAATGAGAAACATAGTGAGTTGTCCTGAGGCTCTGGGCAAGTTAAATGGGTTTCATGTTAATAAAGAATGGAGTCCATAATGTACTAAAGAATGCTTTGCCCACCTTCTGGGAGGGGAGTTCTGGATAGACTGTTTGAGAATGATGACGATAAAACATCAGTCATGTTACAACTATCAGTTTATCAAGCACACCTTTTAAAATCTAAATAAAATAGAAAACGCTTATTAATACTCTTAAATTTTAAAGCAACACAGTGACGTGGGATTTTCATCCTTACGCTTGGGTTTGATCAGTTACCGTCACCAGCCATCTCGAGTTTAAGTTTCTTCATCTAGGAATGCCTGGAGCCAGAGGCTCAGTGAAAACGCACTTGGAAGCACTGTGTAAATCAGAAAGTCATACAAACGCTAGCTCACTGTTGCTGTCGTAACTTCACTCCAGATCCTGCAATTGCACCCACCTTGACTGGAGATGTCTGAAACAGAGGCTTCCCGTCGCATGCCTTCTGGGCTCTCTGCGCGTCTCTCGATGAGTAAAATTTGATGATGGCGTAGAAGCCGGGGCGGGCCACTGCAGCGTTCGGGAAGACTCGGACTGAATACAGAAGGCCAAACTGGGAGAACACTGTAGATAGAGAATGCTGTGGGAGGCCCACGACGTCAGTGCGGATCTCCAGCTCCACGCCAAACCCAGTGTGGCCCACGAGTCCCCGCCCTTCTCCACTCGGAGCACTCCTCCCTGCAGGAACAGGGACCTCCCCCGCAACCCTCGTTCGCCCCCACCGCGCAGCCCCTCACACTTAAGTCCTCGGCTTGACGACCGGCGCTCAGATCCCACACCAACAAAACTTTGTCACTCTGGGTGGGAACCACGAAAGAAATCAACTCCGCCATGGTAAAGCCACTGCGCCTGCGCAAGGAACTACCGCGAAGTTCGAACAGTGTTGCTTACGAGGGGCGGCGCCAGATGGGAAAGGGGTGGAGCCCAGCATCCCACTATTTCCCTGAAACTTCCCACAGACCAGGTATTTAAATTCATAATATAGTAATACTTTACATATTCTCACACACCCTATCGAGTGCTAAAAGACTAGGCGACTGGTGAGCATCCTAGCTGGGCGGTGGCGGCACACGCCTTTAACCCCAGCAAAGCCAGCCAGGTGTCAAAACCCCAAAAACACTAACATCTCTCACTCTCACATCCGTAGCACTCTTTACAGTTGTCCGTGAAAAGGTCAGAGTATAAAACCACCTAGGCATGGTTTTTTTTTTTAGCAATGTAGCTTTATTGTCAGACTTACTGAAGCTGCAGTTACAGACATCTGTGAGGGGCCACGAAAATCTTAGGAATTGGTTCCAGGTATTCCAAAAGATCAGCCAGCAACCTAGACAACAGAATTTAGACGTATTCTCACTTTTGAACCAGTATTAGAGATCCCCCGAAGGGGTGCACCGTTCCTGGAGGTACTGCAATACCAGGTCGATGCGTGGAGTGGACGGAGCAAGCTCCTATTCCAACTCCTGGTTCCAAAAATCCATTTAATATATTGTCCTCGGATAGAGGACGTATCAGATATTAAACTGATAAGAACAGATACTACACTTGATCTTAGCCAAAAGGCCGAGAAGCGATAACTCCTCACTTCCAAGCGACCGCGGCACTCACCCGCGCACTCACCTTCACCTCACGGTCGCCGACGCTCGCGCGCCCGCAGACACGCGCCCGACACCGACTCTCCTGCTCTATCCTCAGCACGACCGTAACTCCAGGGAAAATCTGTGAGACCAGCGTGGGCCGAGGACTTTTCGTTGCTCTCTTCGCTCCCAGAGTTCCCGGGAGACGCGGCCACCTCCTCATTTGCATGCCCCGCCCAGCGCGCGTTTTGTCTCTGCTCTGCACCGCGCCGCGGTGTCCGGTTCCTCTTCGAAATCTTTAAGAGACAAAATTGACAGTACCCTCCACAAGAAGTACTCCCACTCTTTCTCCCTTCCCCTCTTATTTCCTGTGGTCCTGAGTGTTTTGTTGTTAACCGGCGAGATCAACAATGGGTTTGGGTAGGGATGGTGAGTGAGTATAACCCCTGAAGAATGCACACTTTGACCAGTTAAAGACACAGAAGGATCCTTGAGAGGGGCCTTTCGATTTCCAACTTATTTTAGATACGTATCTCGCTGTTTTTGCTTTGAGGCAGGGTCATCTTTCTTTCTTAAGATTTATTTTATTTATTACATACTCAGTGTTCTGCCTGCATATCAGAAGGGGGTACCAGATCTCAGTTACAGATGGTTGTGAGCCACCATGTGGTTGCTGGGAATTGAACTCAGGACCTCTGGAAGAGCAGTCAGTGCTCTTAACCTCTGAGACATGTCTCCAGCCCAGGGTCGTCTTTCTCATTCTTTTGATTGGAAGGAGATCCAGGTTCGATCCACGTGGTGGCTCACAACCCTCTGTAACTTCAGTTCCAGGGGAGCAAACAGGCAGACGAGTGGTATAAATACACACAATGAACCCAGGAAAAACATTCATACACTTAAATAAAATAAATCTAAACATTAAAAAGACACAAGTACTCAGAAAGTAAACAAAAGCAGCAGAAACCTACAGGAGTCACAGGCCCTTGTCTCACCCAACCTTATGTGTGCCGTAACAATTACTGGGCAGAGGACACTCTCCACAAGCCCAGATGCCTGTGAGTTATTTCAGAGAGCTCCAGGAATGCAGGTATCACGAGGGTGGGCTCTTGGGCGATGCAGCTGTCTTTTTGAGTCATCCATGTTCTTATAAGTAACCACCCATGCTTCGGTAAGTAACCCCGTAGACTCATTGGTTCACCACGCTAGACTTGTGTGGGGCCATTTCTTGAGTGTGTCATTGATGCGTTCTCTGAGGTTATAGAGAGCTTTGTTCACATCTTTCCAGAAAGTGTCACACTGAAGAGCCCTAACAGTTGGAAAATAACTAGCTGTCTCCGGAGTGAGCAGCTGCACTTAAAGATAAACTAAACATCCTCCCCTGGTGGTCCTCAAGGACTTGGAAATATTTCCCAGACCTGGGTCTTCAAGGACTTGGAAACATTCCCCAGACCTCAAGGTTCCAGGAGAAGGCCGGTCACAAAGTTCAGCCAAGCACAGCCGTTGCCTAAGACAGATAACGAGCCAGTCAGCCACAAGTGTATGATTGCATGAAGGTCTGGCACCGATTACCAAACTCCCCTTGTACCCCCACCACCCGGTTTGCGGATTCAGGCTTTAAAAACTCGCTGTAATTTCTGCTCGAGGTTCACTCCTTCCCAAGGCTGCTGAACCCCAGCAAGCCGGCTAAATAAAAATCCCCTTGCGTTTTGCAATGAACTTCGGCTCCCTGGTGGTCTTTGGGGCGAGGGTCCTGAGAGGAAGACTGAAGGGTCTTTCAACACATCAATCTCTTAAATGCTGAGCCATCTCTTCCCAGTCTCTACTTACGTAGTCATAAAAGGTTCCTCCTTCCCTCCAGAACAGAATCAACACCCAAGTGGGGTTGAGAACCAGGGAACTAGATCCACGGCCTAAGTGGGCAGGCCTCCCAGAAGACGGCAAAAAAGGCTAAGGGAAGGCTGGAGGACTAGTTGGCCAAGTAAGACTGCACTGAAATACTCAGACGAGCCCTAAGGTGAAGACAGGTGTGTGTGGGTGGGTGATACCAGTCCCTAGGAAGGATGACTAGGCTTGGATCCTAGAGGTAGCAGCGTAGGGGGTAAGTGGGAATCAGATTGAGGGTGCAATGCTCAAACTTGCCAACATGGGGGCTCTTGGTTTGAGAGAGAGGTAGAGAGTACCTCCAAGAGTTCTGGCCCAAACTACTGAAGGACACAGTTGGCGTATGCTAAATTGGAGAGTACCAAATTTGCAGAGAGATGTGTGCCCTGTGCTGAGATCAGTTTGGGAGTCACAAGCTAGAGATAGGTGTCAGACAAATGACAGCTAAACAGTTGCAGGCCCCATGCTGTCTGTAGAAGTGGGGTATAAGCGGGTTTTTCTGTCCTGCCAGCCAGCTCCCCACATCAAAAAAAACAAAAACAAAAACAAAAACAAAAACAAAAAAACCACAGAGACTTACTAAGAATGCTTACTCAGCCAGGGAGTGGTGTTGCATGCCTTTAATCCCAGCACTTGGAAGGCTCCCATCCCATCTCCTGTTCCATAAAGCCATGTAAGGTGTTATGCTGTGATAAGGGGCTCATTGAATAGTAAACTGGAAAGAATGGACACTACCTGCAGTGAGTACTGGCAGTGGTGCCTCTGTCCCCCTACTGTCCCCTATCCACACTCCTGCAATGAGGCTCTTACAAGTTTCTTATTCTCTCCTAGTCTTTTGCCCATGGTCCCACGGCTGACTGATGTGCCTTCTGGGATGCGCATACCCGGCTCTTTTCCAGGAGGGGCGTGGCCACTGCAGAGCCTCAAGCAGCATACTGTATACCCTCCCAAGTGCCAGTGGTTGCGAAGGCATGCCATAGCATGTGTGTAGAGGTCAGATGGCAACTTTTACAAGTTCTCCTTCCACCACGTGGCAAGTACCTTTACTGGCTGAGCCGTCTTACTGGTCCCATATAGGCATCTCTTTTTTTATTTTTTTATTTTTTTTGGTTTTTCGAGACAGGGTTTCTCTGTGGCTTTGGAGGCTGTCCTGAAACTAGCTCTTGTAGACCAGGCTGTCCTCGAACTCACAGAGATCCGCCTGCCTCTGCCTCCAGAGTGCTGGGATTAAAGGCGTGCACCACCAACGCCCGGCTCTGTTTCTCATTTCTAAAGTAGAAGTACTGCCCACTTTATAGTATAGCGTTTCGAAGAATCTTCTCCATTGCCAGGTGGTGGTGGCCCACACCTTAATCCCAGCACTTAGGAGGCAGAGGAAGGTGGATCTCTGTGAGTTCAAGGTCAGCCTGGTCTACAGAGTGAGCTCCAGGACAGCCAGAGCTGTTACACAGAAAAACCCAGCCTCTAAAAACAAAAACAAAAACAGAAAACAAACAAACTCCACCCACATAGGGCTTTACTGTTGTGCTCAAATTCTGAAACCCCCAAATCACCAGGAGACTCAATTTGACGCAAAAGCAGTCTTTTATTGTTGTTTAACAAGCTAACCCCATTAGCTCAGGCCCTTTGTCCATTCATTGTGGCGGATGCTTGGAGAAGGACCCCGAGTAACCACAAGATGGGGGGGGGGCAGCGGATATATTGGGTAGAGCAAGGGGAGTGTCTAGGGGTACACAACAGTCTCAGGATTGGTGCACTTCTGGACTTGGGCAACCTGTCCTGTGTTGATTGGTCAACTGTTTGTTATGGCCTATAGGCCCTCCCAGGGCAGTTGCTATGCTCTGCAAATCAATGTTGTGCACTTGTACGGTAGAGCATACCCAGAGCCATAAAGCACAGCCCCACCAGCTAACTTCTGATTGGTTCCTTGCCATGAGGAGGGTTTCTGACCTCTATCGACTAGGACAGGAGGGCAAGGTCAGGCAAGCACATGTTAGCCTGTCGTGGCTGCTAATGCAGGGGCCTGGTCCCTTCACTACTACCTCATTTCCTCATGCACTGGTTAGCCTCTGGTGTGTATGCAGCTAGAAATAGAAACACAGACACAGGTATTAGATATGCTCACAATTATACATGCATGTTTGCTTTAATGTTTTCCATCTTGAAGGGTGAGATTTAGTACCTAGGACAGTACTCAGCATGTACCTGGCCTTTGACATTTGCTGAACAAATGAAGGAATGAATGTGAAATGACTCAATCTGTATAATGCAGATCGCCCTCCCTGCTGCAATTCCCCAGGCTTTGCCATCTACTGACTGCTGATGTCTGCAGGCTGTCTTCTGCTCTAATCTGGTACCCCTGAGAAGGATGTGTCCTGGGCATGAGAGTAAGGCCAAAAGACAGAAGTTTCACTGCCAAATGATGAGTTATCACTCCATCTCTTGACATCAGATCTTCGTGAGTGAAGCATCCCTTGGGAGTCTCACAGCTGTGCATCCAGCTTGAGCAGAACAGGACACAGGATCTTAGCCCAACCATGGAAGGCTGAGCTGGGTCCAAGGAAGGGTAAGTGCACTGCTCGCCCGTTCCCCAGCCTCCCAGAATCCCGGAACAATCAGATGCAGCAGGGAGTCTAGTCAAGCAGGAACTCGTTTATTGTCCCACAGCAAGCATCATTTAAAGCAAAAAGTTGCAGAGCAGGAAAACAGTGATTTTAAAGGTCAGTCTATCACACACCTAGGTGCCCTATGCTTTACCTAGTGAGCAAGAGCTGTTCATGCAGTGACCTCATCTGGTTTGATCTAGGCAACCAATCATCTTTTTTTTTGTAAACAACTCAGGACTTGCCCATCTGACTTCTCTTCTCCTCAGTGCCATCTTTGACTGGCTCACAGGAAGCAGTCAGATTTGAGGCTGGGCAAGCTGGGGGAAGCTACAGAGCACCCAAGTGACCCAAAGTGGGGTCCAGAGTTGCTGAGATACTCCATAGAGGCCTGCAGAGAACAACCTTGGGAAACCATCTCTCTTCATGTTCTCTGTTTTGTCCCCCTAGCACCTCCCTTGCCTCTAGTTGACCGTGGGTATATATTTTAAAAGGAAAATAAACAA